AAAACTTTTCAATTTGAGACAATCTAGGGTCTCGAAAACTAGTTTGTAGGCGTTGAAATTTAAAAATCACAAACATTTACCCCGCTTTCTCCATGCTTAGTCCAACATATATAGTTTGATATGAAACCTGACTTAAGCAAATGTGAATGAAGACTTATTGAGTTTGAATATTCCTTTAAATTCTTACATAGGGCACATGGACAACACATGAAACCATCCCGCTTATTTGCCTCGGCCACACCTAAGAAATAGTGCAAGCCCTCAATAAAGTCTTGGGAGCGGCGATCGGCATTGTACATCCAATGACGTGACATAATCTGTATTACACGACAAATTATGAAAACCTTAAACATAATTAAGTATTTTATTACACAACATAAATGACACACACACGGTTGATTAATTAACTAAGCCTGGCTACAACGTAAGCAATCCCAACTATCACTAAACAAACTAAAACTATAATGCACTTCAGTAACATAATTATTTTGTGATCGTACGCAACTAAAACAGACAAATCATTCTTCTGTTGAATATCAATAAGCTTCTCCTGCTGGCTCACTAACTCATCAGCAGCAGCCGCTACCTCAAGCGCACCCAAATTCTGCACGTATATAGCATAATCTTCCTCCCAGTACCAACCATCGCATCCATTGCCCTCCCACTGAAATTAAAGCCAAAAAATATTTAGTTAAAAATATTCAAGAAAAGAAGGTCAATTAGCCATAAATAAAAAATGCGTAAGAAACTCACATCGCGATTCGGGCACTTGTAGAAAACACGACCCTTGTTGGGTCCCTGTCTCTTGACTCGGTACTCCATCATAATCTTCTGCTTACACTTGCCGTAGATAATGAGAGGGAGTTCTGGCCTCAGTCGTTTCGCAACCGAACGAGAGGCCGAGGATCCGGTACCAGTTGGCATCTACTTTCTATACTTATTTTTGCAAACTAGTGTAAATTTCATATTTTCTAAAATGATATATTTAACCTAAACTAGTACGGATTTCACATGTTTCAATAAATAACCATCCGTACTAGTTGACCTTGCTTACGTGATCATCTCGCGAGCATTTCTCCACCGGACGGCATCGTATTTTGGCCAAGGAAGAGCTCCGATTCTACGAGAAAGGAACACGGTCTTCCACGACCGCGCTGCCGCTCTCCTCGTGAGAATCAAAGCTCCTCCTTGACGTCTGTTACCGCTTTCGGCAGAGAACATGCTCGCCGAGATGAACACGGTCCGCAAGTTCAACTAGTACGGATTTTCTACAATTTTCTAACAATTTTCTAAGTTTTTCATTTCATGGAAAAATTAATTCTAAGATCACGTAAGCCACCGGGGACGAGGATGGCGCGTGCTCAAATGAGGACGAGACGAAGCGAGGCGTGATTTTGATGAACTAATTTAACTTTTGTTTATCCAAACATATATGCAAATCATCATGTGATTTTGAGCTAAAAATGACATATAAAATCATAATAAAGTCCAACATATAAAGTTACACATGCATCTACATTGCAAAATGAGATAAGCTACTGACAAAACATAAGAAGATTAAGTTTCTTACCTCCAAAATCGAAGAGCAACACCAATGGAGGGGGAGAGAGCAAGAACAACAGCAAGCTGAAGAACAGAGGCAGTGAGTTTGAATGCAATGGCTCAGGCTCGGGGAGAAAGAAATGAGCTGAATTATAGGCCGGGATAATTAGTCCCGGTTAGAGGTTCAAACCGGGACTAAAGATTAATCTTTATTCCCGGGGCATCACCCAAACCGGGACTAAAAGCTTTAGTCCCGGTTGGTATTACCAATCGAGACTAAAGGTAATACCAGCCAGGACCAAAGATCCCTGCCCCGCGAAGGACCGTTGGGCAGGGACCTTTAGTCCCGGTTGGTATTACCAACCAGGACTAAAGGGTATTTTAGTCCCGGGGACAAAAAAAAAATGTCGAGGCTAATACCAAATTAGAACATCGTTCTAAAGTCTGTTATCTAGTAGTAGTAGTAGTGATGGTATACCTCACTATAGGAGCACGATCTCTTCAGCTGCCATTAACAAAGCCACAAAGCGACTGCACGAGAAAATAGATACGTAATAAAGAATTAGTATGGCGTAGAATTTTTGTTTTTGTTGTACTTATTTTGTATCGGTTTGTTAAATGGATGACACCGAAGAAAATGTTACTATTCTCATATTTCTTTGATTGTTTGTCCAGTATTTGAAGATTGCACTAATAATTAGACAACAAGGGAAAGAAACAACCTTAAACAGTCACCACACATTACTTTAAAAATTGTAAAAACAACTCCTTGTTATCGATGAGTTTTATTTTCTTTTTTGAGAAGTGTCTAATATAAGATCACTCGTTGTATCATGCAATTTTTTATCGCACGTCTCAACTACTAAGGATCCCTTTGGATGGGAAGATTGGCAAAAGAATTTTATAGGATTCAACTTCCAAAGGATTTTTTCCCTACACTTCCTTTTGGTTCATAGGAAAGGAAAGGAAATATTTCATAGGATTGCATTCCTAAACAAGAGCTCACAGCCTCTTGGAAAGTTTCCCGGTGCCAAGAGAGCATTCGCAGAATCACCATCTGTCTGTGCTGATCTATATGGGTGTCTTGACCACAGCATTTTGCTTTGAATGCACCACACATCTAAAGACAAGAAAGCGTGTGGCCAGGCTGCCCACACGGCGCGCCACGTCGCCGGCCGTTCCCGGTCGTTCAATCGGCCGCATCGACGGCCCAGATCGGGCAAGGCGTGGTCATTTTACGAAAAACCCCTTATGTTTTTGGGAAATCAACCCGCGCTCCAGAGGCCCTCTCAGAATATTTTGCAAATAACACCTCAGATAATTTTCAAATCAACCCGCAGTCCAGAACGGATGAGCTCCGGATTTTTTGCAAAAAAACCCTTCCTTTTATCAAAAATCAACCCGCACTCCAGAGACACTCTCAGCGATTTTTTCGAAAACCTCCTCAGATTTTTCTCAAATCGAAATACAGGCTCCCCTTGATTATATCTTTTTTTTCCAAAAATACGTGTGGCCAGTGGCCCGCGCGCATGGGCGCGCCCGAAGAACTAGTAGCTTTAGATTTACAAAAGGAAGCATCAAGTTCCTTTGTTTCACCCGAGCAGCTACCAAAGGCTTCCTGATGTTTTCAATTTCTTGGGATTAGGAAAACATGGGCCCTGTTTAGTTGCACCCTAAAATGCCAAATTTTTCAAGATTCCTCGTCACATCGAATCCTTGGACGCATGCATGAAGCATTAAATATAAATAAAAAATAAAACTAATTACATAGTTTAGACGAAATCTGCGAGACGAATCTTTTAAGCCTAATTAGACTATGATTGGACATTAATTGTCAAATAACAACGAAAACGCTACAGTACGTTTTGCCAAAAATTTTGGCATCCAAACTGGCCTCAACTCTATTCCTACATTTTTCCTATCCATATATCTTATCTACCTTGTGTTCCAAAGAGACCCTAAAAAGCTGAACCATAAATTATATGGGCCAATCTGACATGGCTTTCCTAGAGGCTTCTTGTGTGGTGTAACTTGGGGCTCCGAAAAAAATACTTGGAATCAACGGCCCATGATGAAGACAAAAAAATAGAAACCTAGGTTATTTTAGTACCACGCACATCAAGCCACAAAAGTGTATGAACCGCTGAATATATTTTCCAATCAACTTATTCACAAATACAAATATTGTTAACAATTTTTAAAATTTTATTTGAATTTAAAAAAAATAATCAACACAAACTGTATAGCGAGGGAAGTATCTACGAACGAGTAAAATGAATAAGAGTACTATATACATTTTGACCTTTTTCTCACATTCTGAAAACACCAAAATTGTTTCGAGAAGACTCAGGGCCCTTTTGGCACAACTCAACTTAATCAGTGAGCTTGTTTTTTTAGAGAAATAGCTTCATGAGTGCTTTATCGGTGAAGTTGAGCTGCTTTGGAAAAATCTATTTGACAAAACAGCTTCATCAATAACTTCGCTGGGAGAGAAATGAGGGAGAGAACTGTGGAAAACTACTTTTTCAGCTTCACCTCTCTCCATTCCTTTATGAGAGTATAAAAAAGAAACTTCACCTCATAAGCTATTTTAAAAAAGGATGTTTAACCCAAAAAAAACTCATAAAGGTATCGGGGCGTGATTGGACGGCGCACACGGATAGACCAGGCTGCGCAGCAGAGCCAGACCAAGCGTGCCTAGGTTCGACGGACGCAAACGCCTTTGTTTGGTTTGTGTCACCGTGCGGGCAAGGTTGAACGCAGCTGGTGATTGGTTGCCCATGCATACGCTTGTATACTATACACGCACGTGGCACCACGCGAGCCAGGCTCGCGGGAAACGGATCTCATTTCCATTTCCGTAGAAGCCTGGCTTGGGAGCCGCATTTGCACCAGCTGGACCAGGCTCAAGCCTGCATCCAGCTAACCAATCAGCGTGTCATGCATTGATGCATGCCAGGAGCTAGGCTGTGGTTTCTTCTCGACCAATCATGTTCTTGATGAAGCTGTGCCAAACATGCCTTCTTTTTTTTTTTTGTAAAAACACGAAATATTTTCGAGAAGCTACATCTCTAGAGAAAAGCTCGAGCAGAACGGCTACAGGAAGTCGGCGGCTTCTCGCGGAAACGCCTGAACGAAGTCCACGCATGCAACCGAGTCTAGCGATATAAACCCAGTCCATCAGTCCCGTCTGTACACCAGCGGATGCGACCCTCCGGCCCACGTTTATTGACCCCACATGTCAGTAACACGCACTCTCCCTGCAAGGCTGCAAGAGGCATACAACACAGCCGCGTCACCGTACACCGAGCTCACCTCTCCCTCTCCCCCCCTCTCTCTCTCTCTCTCTCTCTCTCTCTCTCTCTATAACCCCCTCATACGCACGAGCTCGTCGGCGGTGAAGGAAGTTGAGGGGAGAAAGCCTAGGTTGTCGCCGCGGGGCGGCGCCCCCTGTTGGGATGGGGATCTCGTTCAAGCTGTCGAAGGTCGGGGTCCGCGTGCACCCGGCCGCGCGCTCGGCGTCCGCGGCGCTGGCACAGGCGGCGGAGGCGGAAAAGCCGGGCGCGGGGGAGAAGGAGGGGTCCCTGTCTGAGTCGAGACGCGAGGTGAGTCGCTCGTGCTTTCTATCGCTTGCTCGCTTGGGTTTGTGTCTCGCTTCGAGATGGTCTGGGTAGCAACAGTGGGGGTGGGGATCTGGGAGCGGAAAGCAATTTGTGCGGGCAACTGATGAAAAATCTGATCTTTGTTTCGAATTTGGTGTTTTTCAGTCGAATTTCGTTAATTCGCTACAAGGTTTAATATATTTTGGGTGATTTCGGCTCGAAAGCTTGTGTTGGACACTCAATCGCGTTTTCGTTCGGAGTGGTCAAATCCTTCTGAGGGATTGAACATTCAAAGACTGAATTTTGGCGTGTGTGTTCTTCGTTGCCGATTGAACTCTGCAGGAGTTTGAGGCAGTTGGTGTTAGGCTCGGTTTTTTGGATGGCTGTGTGTGGCAGTTCGGCTATGGCAGCTGAATTAAGAGGATGGCCATTTGGGCTGCTTGAACTCAGTATCTACCGAAGAGCTTTTTATCTTGTGAAATACTCTAGCTAATTGCTTGTTGTCAATTACCTTAATTTTGATTGTCCGTTAGGTCTAGGGCATTTTGGGTGCGGTTTCCAAGGATTTTCCCAGACGTATTTGCCACGAAGCAAGGGCAATGCTCCTACCTTCCAATTAACATAAGAACACCAATACTGGAGATTCTTTTTGAGTTGTACTAGTATCTGTTGAGATCAGGGATGTTATCTTGTCCAGCTCTTTCTGTCGCACCATCCATGGATTGTTGCTCTAGTGTTCAAGTAGCTTCTAATTTTTGTTGGGAGACAAGCCATACCAATTGGAGTTCTTTGTGGTATAGCAATGTAAAATTACCAAGTATTGGCATGTATTGTACCTGGAATGTTAAACTTCAAGTGGACAGTAGATGGTCCAAATCTTCTTGCCAGATCTTCTGTTAGCTTAAAATGATTGGAGAGAAGATACTTACAACATGTTTAAAAAATTATATATTTTGCTTTTCTTGTTTTCTCTTTGTATTTGCTTTTATTAATTTGACTTTGACATGTAATTCTCTTTTCTTCATAATAACTTGGTTTGCTATGATGGAATGCTCATTTAATCTCTTTGTGCAGGACAACTTCGTTGAGAGAGGAAAAGATGTCAATGGCATCAAAATTTTACCAGCGTGCTCCAAGGAAATTTTGCCAGGTATTTTGAACAGTTGAAGATTTTTTATTTGTATCAGTTTTTGTATTTACACTGCTTTATGTTATGCACTCAACATTGTATTGCAGATCATGAGGTTTCTTTCACATTTAGCCTCTATGAGAGAGGTTATCTCATTTCAAAGTCAGCATCTGTGAGTTTTTCATCTGGAAATTTATGTAGTGAATTTCAATTACTATTCTTGTTGGCATTGGTTTTTCTGGAACTCGAGAGAAAGGCATTCAACTATGAATATACTGCTGACATAAAATACATATATGTTCAGATGGATCCGAGTCAGATCTCAATTCAGGACGGCAAAACACTGCATCCCTATGATAGAGCATCGGAAAAGTTATTCTCTGTAAGTATGGTATCACTTGCTTGCAAGTTTTGTTTTAGTTGTGTCCTTGGATGACATTTCCATAGTGCATGCAATGTCATACCCAAAAATTGGAGCCAAATTAGGTGTGAAAACCAACCAATTTGGTTCATACCGCATTTACTATTTACGAAAACAAATTGGAATTGCTTGAAATATGAATTATTGTATGTTGTAATATGGATAGAGTTGGGGCGATGTTTAAGGCCTGTTTGGAACGCAGGAATTTTGTAGGAGGAATAGGGAAAATTCTTGTGTTTGGAACGCAGGAATTTCATAGGAGGAATAGGGAAAAATTCTTGTGTTCCAAACAGGGCCTTATACTTTCCAGCCAGATGCAAAAACTTGGGCAATTGTAAGATACCACTGAGATTCTATCCAATTATAGTCATTCCCATTTATCTATCTCATCGAAAGAAACTGGAGTTCACATTAAATTTGTTGAACACTTCAAATAAGGCTTATAACACTGACAGTGAAATATGTATATTTCTTTACCAAATTCAAATATAAATAGCTGGGATAACCTAAAACTTTGGAGGGGAAAAAGTCTATATCATATTTGCATCAATATTATTTATGTATACTTGAAATAGTATCAGGTTGGTGCAAAATTATGAAATTGGGTTGGATTTGAATAAAAAAATTCATTGCCAATATCCTATTGAGTAAGGTATAGTTTACGCATATTTCTTTTGCGATCTCAACCAAGAATGTCGAGTCCCATCTGAAAAAACAAAAACGAGAAGTTTTCAGATCAGCACCTCTTACATAGTGATGAAGTTCTATTCTTCTATAAGACCTTATACGATTACAACATTGGTGTGACCCTATAGTTTGACCTTAGCATCCTGTAGCCCAAGAGCCCAAGTTTCCTGTGCATGATCATTTTCATATACTACCATATTATGAGTGGCAATTTTCTCTGAAATGTGCAGACGTTTTGAGTACTAGACAGTAGACAAATATTTTTGCTTTGTTTTTTTGAGCTTCCTAACTGATTGACCAGGTTTATCCATTTAGCTGGCTAAAAATAATATGTTAAATATTGATCTACATGACTCTAATCATAGTTAAATGAGTTTCCTCATGATCTCAAGGCCATTGAAGCTGGGAGGCTACCTGGCGATATTCTTGATGAGATACCAAGCAAGTACTATAATGGATCAGTTGTTTGTGAGGTAAGTTGTTTTATCATACTTAAGAAATGCTATCCATGCAATGCTATTGAACTGCGACATTCTGAAACCTTTCTGAAATCTATTCTCTTATAAGTAATAAGTTGTGCTTGGTTTCTCTGATACATGGTTCAAAAAGCATACTGTCACAATTTCTGTACTGAGGTTTTACGCTATATGGGAGAAATCCTTCTTTAAAAGAAAAAACTAGAAGTTTGGTAGCTTTACTGCCAACATGTTCTACAATATGCCAACCTACCAGTACTGTACCAACCTTTTTCCTAACACTTTTTTCAGAAACAATGGTTATGCATTATCGTGAACCATCATGTTGTGTCATGCACTCATGGTCATGTGTTAGTGTGTTACTGTACCTTATTGATAAGAGACCACTGAGTCTTTAGCAGTACTTCATACTTCATTGTCCTACATCGATATAAGTAATGAGATCTCTTTCTAGATACGTGACTACCGAAAGCATGTGTCCAACGAAGCGCCTGCATCATCTGCTGAGCTAGGATTACCTATTGTGAATAAAGTACGACTGCGAATGACCTTTGAGAATGTTGTAAAGGACATTACCCTTCTATCTGATGATTCCTGGACTTACAGGGATTTTGTGGTAAGTATGCTGTGGTAACATCTACTCTATTAGTTGGAATTTCAACATGGCTCATTTTGGCATCTGTACTTGCAGTTTTTATACTCTAGTATCTATAGGAAATTGTTTATTTGAGAATGTATTAACTGAATTTAATCATTTGTGTAGCTAATACTTAGCAATTGCAAGTTAGTTCTTCAATAACTGATTAGTAACACTGGAATAGCGTGATACAGTAATAGAAATGTAAAATATATGTATGATTGGATATCTAAATGAACTTCTGTAATAGAGTAACCTGAAATTTCAGTTAATGCAATTCAATTTGCTTTCCCGAACCATATGGGCTATTGTGATATGCATGTTTCTCTAGGAAGCTGAAGCTCGCATTGTGAGAGCTCTACAACCAGAACTTTGCTTAGACCCTACACCTAAACTGGATCGACTTTGTCAGGATCCTGTTCCGCATAAGGTATGGACACATGCTGAACAGAAAATATTATCATGATAGGTATATGTCTCAAGCTAAGCCTCTTATGTTACTTGCAGTTGAGCCTCGGTATAGGGAAAAAGAGGAGGCTGAGGCAAAATCCTGAAGTTGTTGTCACATCCAGTAACATGTCTCATGGTAAAAAGGTTTGCATTGATAGGTTACCTGAAAATGCCAAAGTTGATGAGATGGGCATCACTAGCAGTAATGCAGCTCAGCAGGTTGGTGATAACATTACCATCCAAAATATCTCGGTCTTGGGTGGTTCTCAGACACCTAGACCAAATAATTCTTCACAAGATGCTGCCAGAATGCATTTGTCCCAATCTGGTCTACAGCAAGCCTTAAGTTATTCTGCTGCTGGTAATGATCGTATGGCAGGACTGCCTGCGAATTTTTCTGGAATCAATTCAAGCATTTCATCTCCTCAGAGCATGATTGGTTACAATGACACTGTGGCTGCCAATGGCCTTCTATCTGTGAAGAGGGAAATGCAAGATGCCCCGCTTCAAGATCCTAAGAGAATAAAGCCAACTGGTGGCATTGATCATGTACAGCAGCAGCAGATAAGGCCTCAACCCCTTGGTGGGCAGGAGATGCAATGGAAGAACCATCAACTGCATCCACAATTAGATGTCAAGGGGATGCAGTATGCATCTTCACTGAGTGGTCAGAGATATCCTTCTTCGATGATGAGCAACATGCAAGATCCAGGATCTTCCTTATATTTCAATCATCAGCATAATTTGAGATACGGTGCTAAGCAAGAGCAGATGGATGGTTCTGATAAGTCGAAAGACGCCTTGCAGTCTATGGCACCTGAAAGTTCCATGCTGGATCTGCAGCAATCCCAGGCTCAACATTTACCACAGCAATCAGCGGCAAGAAACAATGTTCCAAACATGGGACAGTGGCAAAATACTCGGTTCGCAGCTGAGAAGGACTTGAAAAAAGAAGAAATAATTCCAAGAAGAAAATTAGCACCTAGCTCTCGTGCCCCTTCTGGGCCTATGGTTCAGTCTCCAGTGTCCTCGAAATCTGGAGAGATATCAAGCAGTTCAATGGGTGGCCAGTTTGGTTCTGCTGTGACATCAGCTGTAATAGGGGTACAGAAAGATAAATTTGCTGCAAATTCCAATGCTGCAGTTGGATTTCCTTCTGTAGCTTCCAGTCCTAGTGATTCCATGCACCGAATACAACAGCCAGCTGTTGCTTCCTCCAAGAGGAAAACAAATTCTGTCCCCAAAACTCAACCGCCTGTGAGTGCTGTTGGGTCTCCAGCCAGTGTTTCAAACATGCATGCTCCGCTGAATGCGAGCAGCCCATCGATTGGGACCACACCTATGGGAGACCAAGCAATCCTTGATAAATTTGCAAAAATTGATAATATTTCCCATCAGTATGGCATAATTTCCACATCTGCTCTCTCCCTTCACGAATTTTTTTCCCTTCTATTCTTAGTTTCTTTGGAAGTCTGTCATGGGAGGCACTTTTTTAGGAAGTTTTGGGTTGCACGTCGTGAATTTGACGTGTAGGCTATTTTAAAGCTGAGATTCAGCTCTATTACTTCCTATGGTCACACAAAAAAGTGTCTTGCTAAAATGTGCGAATGAACTGTTTCAATTCTTTACCAAAGTTATCAACATTTTAACCTAAATAACTAGTCCCTCCATTCCAAATTGTAAGTTGTTTTGGCTTCTCTAAACTATGTATCTAGATACAGCGCATATCTAGGTACATAGCAAAAGCTATGTGCCTATAAAAGTCAAAACAACTTACAATTTGGAATTGAGGGAGTACCTAACAAAATGAAAGGGTAAAGAATTAAAACATCTTTTTTAGGACTGGAGTTTCTCAGCTAACTAAAATCCTGAAGAAAGCCTTGCGAGTCTAAAATGTTTTTGTAGTACTGAATCTCATGTACAAAGTGCATTGGTACCTTTTATCAGTTGTTACAAGTGTGGACTATAATTTAGTCAATTTTTCCTGTATATATTTGCCCTTAAGTTTAAATATAGAATTCCTTGAAGTGAAGTCAGCAATGCATATACAACAGCAACAAAGCCTTGTAGTCCCAAGTAAGTTGGGGGTAGGCTAGAGCTAAAACCGAACTATGCATATATGTTCTTTTTTTTCAATATAGATCCCATTATAAAGTGGCACATAGCTGACCCTTGTGGACGATTTGAAATATTTCTCTTTGGCCATTGCATTGTGATAATATTTTTCTTTCTACATGTACTTATTGTTGTGTATCCTTTTCAGGTACCAGCTTTTCAATAAGAAGAACAAGGTTGATAAAATATCTCAAAAGAAAACCATTACCAATCAAAGTCATCAAGATGTAGCTAGATGTCTCAATAGTTGTTTCCATTCTGAGAATTATAAAGATACAACAAGACCTCTTTGTAATTCTATGATTAGTGGAACTATAAACACGTGCAAGACTAGAGTGATAAACTTTGTGAGCACAAACCGCATGTACCAAGGTATGCTTTACAGACATTTTGCTGAAAAGGTCCCCAGGAAAGAAAAGCCACAGCACCTTCAGTTAATCTGATTTGCACTGTTCTACAGGTCATTCAAGGCCATTCCAGGTTATTTTCAAGGAAACGTCGGATGAAACTGTAAAAATGCAATATGGAGATCTAGAAGATTTTGATGGTCCGAATTCATATGATTGTGTATTCATATTACCGACAAAGGTTTGTTGTTATCTCTCAAGCTTTCACTGTTGCCCTTTGTAGCTTAAAGGCCCTGAAACACTAGGGCATACTATTTAATGCTCTATTTCTGTCCTAACTTTTCAATTTTTTGCTCTGCCAGTACTATGCTGACTTGCTTGCAGAGCAGCTTATTCCCCTTGTAAGTTCCATAACCCTAAAGCCCTAAATAGTAAGATGCTTAAGTCAATCTTCTCATTTTTCTTTACCTTTCTGTACTTTTTGCTCTAGATGTTGCAAGATGGGCATTCTAAAGCTGATGATAAAGTCTTGCGTGGCACCCCCCTTGCTAACCTCAGTACACTATCTGGAATTTTACCAGACAATTTAGTGAGTGATGTAAAGCAAGAGGGAGGTGTAAGCCAACAACTTAATGCTGCAGCCCATGCAAATGTGGCACCTGGAACACAGATGCAACAGCTTCCTGTCAATAGGATGCTTTCATCTGCAAGTAGCAACCAGGTTCTAGCAATGCAGCAAGGTTATATGCAAGGGGCAGCCATGCCTCCAAGGAGCCAGCAGCTTGACCACAATTTGGTTCAGCAGCCGCAGCAGCAACAGCCACAGCAGCAACCACTGCAGCAAACTGCTCAAGCCCAGATGCAGCAACCATCCTCTCTTCCACTGAACCATATGCAAAGACCTCAGCTTCTCCCCACGAGCCCATTATCTCAGATGTTGGGGCCTGGCTCAAATCTCCCAATGGGCTCAAGTCAGATAGGTAACAATAAGGCTCCTACATCCTTGCAGCTTCAAATGCTACAGGCACAACAGCAACAACCTATGTCTAGGAAAGTGATGATGGGGCTTGGCTCAGCCATGAACATGGGCAATATGGTTAACAATGTTGGTCTTGGCGGCCTTGGTAATGTTATGGGAATGGGCAACGTGCGTCCCATATCCTCCCCCATGGGAACAATGTCAGGCTTAGGTAACAATTCAAATCCAATGAACATGGGAATGACATCCAACCTTGCTGGACTTCGGCCAGGTATGAACCCTGCTACTTTTGCCAAGATGCGTATGGGGTTGGCACAACAAAGGGCAGCAGGCATGTATCCTGGAATGGTTGGAATGCCTGGAAGCAGCTCTCCAATCCTTCCTAGTTCAGCTGGCTTATCTATGATGGGCCAGCCGCTAAACAGAAGCAACCTTGGTCCCCTGCAGAGGGCCATGTTGTCGTCTATGGGCCCTCCAAAAATGCCAGTAGGTAACTTTCAGCTGAACCCTCAACAGCAAATGCAGCTCCAGCAGCAGCTCCAACAGAACCCCCAGCAACAGCAGCAGCTCCATCAGAACCCACAGCAGCAGCAGCAACAAATGCAGCAACTACAGCAACAGCAACAAATACAGCAACAACTGCAGCAGCAGCAGCTCCAACAACAACTGCTGCTGCAGCAGCAGCAGCAGCAGCAACAGCAAATGGGATCTCCGTTAAAGCAGGCACAGGTGGGCTCACCTGCTGGCTCGCAGCAGTCGCTGATGATGCAGCAGCAGCAGATAAGCCCACAGCAAATGGGACAGCAGGCTGCAATGAGCCCCCAGTTGAGCTCAGGAACTCTGCAGCAAATGAGCAATAACGTGGCCAACCCTGTAGCCACTCCAGGCCCTCCCCCAAGCCCGCAGCTGAGCTCCCAGACCCATGGGTCGGTCAACAGCATAGCTAACTCCCCGATGGAGCAGCTGCAAGGCGCCAATAAGGGAGGTCCTGGTAGCATGTAACCACAAATAATTGGTTCACTTCTTTGCCTATATATACAACGTAGGAAGGTGTAAACACTGGCCAAGATCACTGTTTTCTTGTTTGTTGTGGTAAATGAGGTTAAATTAGGTGTGTTATAAGTTATAGACCATAGATGATAGCCTGTTAAGGACCAGCTTTATGCATGGATTTTTATGCTGTAGAATGTGGTTATTAGTAGGAATGGTGTGTGTAGGAGCTTGGTAGTCAGTTCTGGGCAAACATACTCAATTGGACAGTTTTCTATTTTTCTCGCTTCATGTTTAAATTAAATTCTTCAAAATTATGAACTTGTTATGTGACCATTGTGTTACTGATACGTATCTTCATTTGTTTGCCGACAATTTTGTAACATGTTAGAGATTCGTCAAATTCATTTTTTGATGTGTTTATGGGGCTGATTAGTTAATTGTAACATGTTAGAGATTCGTCAAATTCAATTTTAGATGTGTATATGGGCCTGATTAGTGCTGTGTTATTCTATATGTAGACTTGTATAAAATGCAGGTTACGTGAATCTGGTTGTCCGTGAAGATTTTTATGCAGTCTTCTAAAGTGCTCAAAGCAGGTTCAACGCAGCATTAAGGCCCTGTTTGGTTGAACTGTGGCTGTGGGAGAAAGCTGCTGTGGGCTGTGAGCTGTGGAAAAGCTGCTGTGAGCTGTAGAAAAGCTGAAAGCCGTTTGGTTAAACAAGTATAAAATATATCTTTTATCTTTATCTCTCTTGAAACAACTATGGAAGAGCTTTTTATTCCATCAATTTCGAAAAGCAGAAAGCTAAAAGCTAAAAGAGGTTAAACCAAACTTTTAAAAATAAACTTACGAAAAAGCAAAAATTTCTTAAAAAGACTCCAAAAAACAAAATTACTTTGGTTTGGGCTTTTTTTTTACCAAAAAAGCAAAGCCAAAAAAAGTTCAACCAAATGGGCCCTAAGTAATACCCTAGATTATTTTAAAAAAAAACTAATACCCTAGATTCAATTGTATATTAGATAATGCAGATTTGACACAGCCAATGGGACAGCTTGCGTGCGCATAGCAACCGAAGTACCAAGATGTTACGTCTACACATGCCGATTTAGATTATGCTACATAACGACTATGCAAACAGCCAATGAAACCCTACACACACCATCCCTGGTTACACTGTTTGCACATTAACCAGCTTAGTTCGTTTGGCTGTGGCTTATCGTAAACGATCGTAAATTTCTAGCCGGAACAGTATTTTTGTCTCACACAAACCAGCCAGCAGTATTTCTTTACGAACCAGCAATGAAACGAACCAGCCAACCGAACAGGCTGAACATCATTTACTCTGTTCTTTTGATGGAAAATTGCAGCATTTACATTCTTGACAGCTAATTCACCCTCCACTATTTCGGATAGTATTTATGGTTCTACCTTTTTCTTAGCAGCCAGGGAAGCATTAGCTTCACCCTTTGAACGTCTCGAATCTTTGCAAAATTGACTTTGAGCAATTTCTAATTATTGTCTAAAATGCTTCAAAGGATGCCCACGATGCGGAGGTTTCCAGTGCAACAGCAAATCACCGTTGCAAGATACTTTATGCTGAAACTTAGATCACGAGATAACCATCAACTATCTGCCGAATGTGGGTATCGATGAATGGCTACTGTAACGATTGCATTTTCACTTTCAGGACATAAAACGTGCATGTACCTGTAAAAGTTTCGATCTGCCATTTTGAACTCTGTAATTCCTTCCAGAGAAACAGATGCATGTAAGTTGTCCACGCAATAGTAATCTACAAGGCTACAACAGCTCTTCAAAATAACAGGGAAAATGTTCACCCGCTGCTCAAATGTTGAAGTATATTTTGTACATCTTCAACTAAAAAAACAATAAGAGCTGGCTTTTCACTTGGACAAGTTTCTCGTGATATTTTTAGCTGCCGTCTTTCTAGGTATATTTGGGTACCAGTTCAAAATTTCTGAGGGAGCAAGGCCCCCCCACCCCCCTGTTATCTTTCAGCATTAACCCTCTTCCCACACATTATCATCTTCATCATCGCCAGATTCTTGGGCCTCCGCATTCAAATCTGCCAACTTGTATGTTTCGGTTGCATTCCCTACACATTTTTAAACAGATTAGGCAGAATAGTGGATGCAAAATCTATATGGGTATATTAATTGCACAAGTGGAGGTTGAAACATTATAACTGAAACAGATTATGAAATTAAAAAATTCACCAGAGGTTAAAGTAGTTGTAAAATAATTATGGCACAGACCCAAGGTAGTCTCTGTCAAGGTCTGGTATCATAATTATTAGGGTAGCTGATAATCAGACTTCGACACCCTTCATAAAACTGTTATAGTTACTCCCTCCTTCCAAGAATGATATCATATTTTGATCAGCAGAAGTCATACAAAATATATTTTGACCCTTAATTTCTTACAATATGTTATTTGCTGAAGTATCATATCATCTTAGAGGCACTTTAAATACAAATGTATTGATACAAGTTTTATGTCCTAAACTTTTATATAATTCGAACAATTGTGGTTACAGTTTGTAAATTTTGACTTTTCCCTATACAACATGCTTATCATGCACTTTAAATACTTGTATGTTCAATATCAATGAGATGGTGATGAGGGATCAGAAGCTATGAGAAAACATGTCTCAATTGTTGATTAGAGGAACTCCAAGAGCCTCTTTATATCCTCTTTATATCCATCCATATTGATAGGAACAGAGATTTCGGTGAAAAAATGCCCTCCGACTTCTCTAATTAAACATCCAAATATTGACATTCTCTATTCCTGATTTCTCACTAGCCAAAGATAGAGAGCCGGGTTAGCTCTCTAGGGCGCACACAAGATATATATAAAAATTGTTGGAGGGTGAAAACATATAAAGAGCTATTTTTATTGGAATGACTCCAGATGAGGACATAGAGTGAGTTTAAGAAAGACTCTTGGAGATACTCTTAGACCAGTATTTAAGTAAGGCTTATAATAGGAAGAAAAGAAAAAAAATACCTCAAATACATGTACAAACTTTATTCAAGGAAAGTCAAAAAGGTTAGTCAGTGATTGTACCATGTCCACATATTAAATACATGGATTTCCATGTACACTATTGTCAATTTGCTATTTATTAGACAATAATTCAGGTATAGTTTGAAGATAGGTTGAAAGACCAATTTTTACTGATACAAGCATTTCAGATACAGAATACAAAAAAAAGGGCAGCCCCAGTGCACGTAGCTCCCGCTTGCGCAGGGTCAAGGGAAGGGTCCGACCACTTGGGTCTTTTGTACGCAGCCTTTCCCTGCATTTCTGCAAGAGGCTGTTTCCAGGACTGGAACCCGTGACCTCATGGTCACAAGGAAGCAGCTTTACCACTGCGCCAAGGCTCCCCTTCAGATACAGAATACAGAAAACTTAAAATGTTTGAAGCTAAAAGATATGAGTAAGCAAAAGATACATGTACCTGTAGGTTGATGCTCTTCCCATTCAATACCTTCATCATCATAATCCCGCTTGTATTTCTTGCCCACTTGGCGTTCAGTTTGAGAATCTGGGACAAAAATCTTGCCTTCCTGCTGCATTCTCCTTTTTGCTTCTTCCTCTTCCTGCTTTTTCCTCAAGGCCTCATAATAAGCCTTTATGTATTCTTCCTACAGGATAAAAATAAAAAATAATATAAAAATTTCAGAATGGTAGATTCTTTACTCTAAAGTCCAGTATATGTCCATTCCTGAGCTGACCTTTAAACTTTGATCATCTTTCGAGTCCTGTTTCTTGTCATCTTTGGCTTCAGATATTTCAAGTTTTTGTGACTCAATTTTTTCTCCTCTTTGTTCCTTTGTAAGATTCATGCCATCTTTGATCATCCATGGAGGTAAGACTTTCAGTTCAGAACCATTTTTACCTGATTCAGCACCTTCTTCTTTCACACCATCAATCACAACTTCAACCTGAAAAATGAAACAGATGTCTCACCGATCGAGCAAAGGTATGGCCGTAAAGTGCAACAACTATATGCAACACAAGCTAAGCACATGTGTGGTGACTCCATATTAAACACATAAATGCATTGGTGAGAATTTTTTTATGGAGATATCGTAACATCATTCAACAAAAGGTGTGAAAACGTCTGATTTGATTCAAGGAGTTTTTCTTTTTTTGATGGATAGTAGGGAAAAGAAGGGTGGACTTCTGTGTGCAGATGATGAACTAATATGATTCAGAAGTTCATTGGGATATATGCAAAAGAGTTGAATGTAAGACATAATCTGTTGCTGACCTCTCACTCTTTGTTTGCTACACAGCAGATTTGGCAACAGATCATTCTCTGCCGTCCTAGTTGCTGTAGCAGTAGGGCAATAGGCCACCACTGGTACATTAGTTGGTAGCTAATACATCAGTCATGCCTTGGTAGTGGGCTGAGGTAGGAATTGTATTGCTAGTACTAGGAGTAGTTGGGGCTGTACTCAGCCATGCTCATGTATACCTTATAGTTGGTACATGAGTTGTATATACTCTACCTCTATGCAATGAAAACAGGCAGCTCAGTTGTCACAACCAAAGGGCAGAGCTGACCAACGCTGGTGCTCGTGCTGTGTGTGTGCTGTGCTCACCCCTTCTTCTACCTCAAGCCATAGTGAGTGAGTGTGTGCTGGTAAGCTTACTGCTTACCTATGCAGGGCAGCAAGGGACCAACAAGTGGCATCGGAGCCGTACAGGTTCACCTGCATCGCCGGACAAATCGCCGGCGATGGTACCTGGCTCGGAGACGAGCGACAACAGCGGAGCTGCAGGAGGCAGCAGTGCTGCTGGGGCTGCCCAACCACGACAGGAGGTCGTTGTGCGCAAGGTGCGGAAGGTCAACGACACTACTTGGCCACAGCTGACTCGCACCAACTATGGCGAGTGGGCGGTGACCATAAAGGTCAAGCTCAGAGCCCGACAGCTCTGGAACGCCATCGACAAGGGCACCGACGTAGAAGAAGATGACATATCAGCGCCGGAGGCCATCCTCGTTGCGGTGCCTGCGAAGTACTGTGAGCCGTTGGGGGCGAAGAAGTCTGCTAAGGAGGCGTGGGAGGCCATTGCAGCGATGTGCATCGGCTCTGATCGCGCAAAGAAGGCGATGGCCCAGCTGTTGAACCGGGAGTACGCCAACCTCAAGTTCAAGGATGGTGAGTCGGTGGAGGACTTCTCCCTCCGCCTGCAGTCGCTCATCAACAACCTGGGGAGCCACGACGTCACCATCGACGAAGAAGAGGCGGTCTCAAAGTATCTCCACTCCGTGCCGGTGAATTACATACAATCGCTCTCTCCATAGAGACTATGCTGGACCTGTCCACCCTCACCATCGAGGATGTGACAGGCCGTTTGCGGGCGGTGGACGAGCACATGGAGCAGGCCACAGCAACGACGGACAACGGCAAGCTGCTGCTGACAGAGGAGGAGTGGGCTGCCCGAATGAAGGAGAAGAAGTCCAGGAAAGCCTCCTCCAACCGCGGTGGCGATGGCAAGCGCCATGGCAAGGTTTCTTCGGATAAGAAGAAGATCGACCCCAACGCCTGCCGGCGCTGCGGGAAAATAGGCCATTGGTCAAAGGAGTGCCCAAACCGTAAACAGGAGAAGAAAGCCGAGGCTCATTTAGCGCAGGCTGATGATAATGATGAGGCCTGTGGGGGGTACGACCCCGGATACCCACGACAGACTACATGGGTTGCGCCCCCAGGGGTGGTCCAGCCCACAAGACGAAGACTTACGGTGCACGGTACTACTCGGCGTGTACCGCAAGACGTCAAGGGCGATATCCCGAAATTGCTACGAGATCTGTTAGGATATGCTCGATCCTGTGATTCCTTTAATCTGTTATTACTTACCGGTTATCTCCTGGATCTAACCGACTTGTAACCCTACCCCCGGCTATATAAGGCGGGTAGGGGACCCCCTCAAAACACACGCATTATCATACGATAGCCAATACAAACCAACAGACCACAGGAGTAAGATATTACGTCGTGCTGACGGCCCGAACCTGTCTAACTCTTGTGTCTCTGTTGCCTTCTTGTTCTTGATTACGCGCACCACTGCCGATCAATCTACCTTCGTGAGATGCCCCTTGGAGGACTGCCGACGATATTTTGTTGACAGTTGGCGCGCCAAGTAGGGGTGTGCGTGCTGTTTCTTTGACGAACAAGATGGTACTTTTTGCAGGCTCTTCGTCCTCCCCAAAGCCTGGCAAGATCTTTACGGTCGGATCGATCTCCTAGGTCATCAATGCTGACGGAGACGGAGAGATCATCGAGCCGGTGAAGATCGATTCTGCGCCGACCACACCAACACCCCTATCGGAGGCTGATCTGGAAACCCCAGGGGTTACGGCCGCCATCCATCAGGATGCCCTACGGGGCAAATTCGCCGACCCGATCGCCGACCAGCTCTCGCCGACTGTCAATATGCTGCAAATTGGCCGACGTCCCGAAGCATCCCTCCACACCATCCTGGAGAAAAATCCAGACTTCGAGTCCCAAGGCTCTACGGAGACTATCTCCGAAACCGCCGCCGTCCAACCTCCTTTCCCACACTTCCATGGAGGTGGGATTTTTAATGTCAGTGTCGACAGCCCGCCACGGGATGAAAAACCGATGAAGACCGCGCAGCTCGCGTCAACAGAAACGTCAACCGTGCGCAGCGCCGAGCGAATGAGGCCACCATTGTGCTAGTCGAGGCTGCTCACAACGGAGAACAGCTCAACTCGCAAGGGAGGCCACGCCCACTCCGCCACAACCTTGACGACGAATTCATCCGTGTCGACGGCCACGACGTCTACAAGACCCCAAGCGCCAACTTGACCGTGGCCGCTAATAAGCTCGCTCGGCTCGAGCAAACGCCAGAGGTCGCCAAGGTCGCCGCAATGCTTAAAGTTGCACACTGCCAGGTCAACGAGATCCGCCAGGATCAGGGACCCTCCTACTCAACAAGCTCGAATCGCCCATCCGCCGCGCCAAGATCCGATCTTCGCCCCGGCAGAAGCCGTTTCGCCGACCAGCGTCGTGATGATGGACGACCCCTCCAGGGGGGAGCTAGGGGAACCGTATCGACTACCCTCGCCAACATGATCAAGAAGTCAACCAAGATGTTCGAGCGCACATCAACAATCTCCGGATGCGCGACGTAATATCGACGGGCGCCGTTTCTCTCGCCATGAAGAGGAAGTACGCCGGCATCAAGAATACGAGCAAGAGTTCGGTAATCCGGATGCAGCCCTCCAGCCACTTAACGCCGGCAATGCTGCGGATCCCGCAGCGACGAACGCCCCGACGAACGACGCCACAGTGACCGCCGTTACGACGACCGCGGCCACCATCAGGACAGTGGCCGTGATCAGCCGGAAGGGTCTAAAGCTGGTCAGTATCACCGTTGCCAACCAGACAACATCGTCGCCACCGTTGACGAACCTCGCGCCAAACGTAACTACGACGAGCAGTACAAGAAAATCCTCGAAGGCCCGTGCCCCCTCCACAAGAACAGCAAGCACAAGATGAAGGACTGCCTTGGCTTGGCTAAGGAGTTCCAGACCAAAAAGAAGGACGACGACAACGACGACGGAGCCGAGGTCGCCGACCACCTGGGGACAACAACAACGCCTTCGAGAATCACGAAAAAGTGGTCGCCACTATCTTGAGGCCCTCGCCGCCGAGAGCGAAGAGATCGAAGCTCACCGCCCACGGGTGCTCACCAAATCAACACAGAAGACTATCGCCAACCCCACTATCGCCTTCGGTCCGAGGTCCCCATCACCTTCAAAGCAGGGGGCACCCGGTGGGGCGGACATCCCTTACAATGGGCGTTTCCCCGTCGTTCTCGATGCAACCGTCAAGAAAGTACTCTTCAGGAAAGTACTCGTCGACGACGGAAGTGCTCTGAACCTCCTCTTCGCCGGAGCCCTGAAGGAGCTGGGCCTTGGAATAGAAGACCTCACTCCCTCCGACTCCTCCTTCTGGGGTGTGGTACCTGACAGGGCATCCAAACCGCTTGGAGAGATCACCCTCCCGGTACAATTCGACACGGCTAGCAACTTCCGCGGCGAGCACATCAACTTTTATGTCGTTGACTTCAACGCCGCCTACCACGCCATACTTGGTCGGCCAGCTCTGGCCAAGTTCATAGCCATACCACACTACGCCTATCTGGTGTTGAAGATGCCTTCGCTTGCAGGAGTTCTGGCCCTGCGGGCCAACCTCTCCATCGCCTACGCCAGCAAAACAGAGTCTCTCCCTCGCCTAAGCCACCGACCTCTCCATCCAGATGGCCAGCATGGTCAACGACGTCAAGACGGTGCCCGCCGACGACTTGGAGATCCCAGCGCTGGAGCCTCCTCGTGCCTCAGCCAAGTCTAAGGAAACGAAGGAGGTCGACCTCGGCCTCGACAACCCCACCAAGACCGTCAAGATTGGGGCTCATCTCGACCCCAAATAGGAAAGCGTGCTCGTCTCCTTCCTACGTGCCAACGCCGACGTGTTTGCTTGGAAACCTGCAGACATGCCGGGGGTACCACGGGAGAAGATCGAGCACTCCTTGAATGTCTCGCCGACCGCCAAACCGATCAAGCAGAAGCTCCGACGATTCGCGCCAGACAAGGAGGCTATTAGGGTAGAAATAAAACGGCTCCTAGCAGCCGGATTTATTAAAGAAGTGTATCATCCTGAATGGCTGGCTAACCCAGTCCTTGTTCAAAAGAAGAATAAAGAATGAAGAATGTGCGTTGATTACACCGATCTCAACAAACACTGCCCTAAAGACGAGGTTGTAGACTCCACCACCGGCTGCGAACTCCTCTCCTTCCTCGACTGTTACTCCGGCTATCACCAGATATCCCTCAAAGAGGATGACCAAATCAAAACGTCGTTCATCACGTCTTTCGGTGCATATTGCTATACCACCATGTCCTTCGGAC